ACCATCACCCCCCTCATCACCACCACCTGACACATGAGTCATGAGGCCACCTGGCCATTGTGAGCAGAGCAGGTGACAGAGCCACAGCAGGTGTAGGGATGTGGCAGGACTATCCCCTGTTTTCCAGCAACAGAGGCTGATGGCTTGGTCTAGAAGGGGAGCCCTGGAGGCAGAGCATTGGGCACGTTCTGCATGCATCCTGTAGGTAGGACCCAATGGAGTCGCTCACACAGAGGTAGGCAGGTAGGGCCATCAGAGCACTGAGGTTACTCCTCATGCCTGGGAAGGTGGCAGGCTCCCGGGGTAAACTGCAGAACCCCAAAGCCATGCCCTGCTCTCCTCCTTTCTCTTTTTCCTACAATCTGCCTACTTGTCTCCATGATCTCATTGTTTTTCCTTGACTACCACAGGAAGGCATGGACGTCAGCCCAGCTTGCCCTCCTCCTGGCAGCATGAGCCTGGGCTAATCCCTGTCCCTGAGAACTCGGCTCCACCACCTCTACTTCCATAATCTCCTTAAGAATGTTCAACTGTGACTGATCTCAAAAGACTCTTCTGTCAGAGGAGAATTAAGGTTATTTTCCACTTTTGGTGTATCGGTTTCCTACGTGTTCTTATTCTCATAAAGAAAACCTGAGACTGATTTTTTTCCAGATAATGTTATTTCTTTCTCCTTCTAGATATGCCTTTGCTTTCTCTGCAATCCATTGGAGCTTTTAAGGTGACCCTTTTCCAGTCCATCAGTTGGCCGTGATGTACCACACACTGATGGAGTGGGACCTGTGGGTCAGCATGCAGCACTTTCTAGGAACCTCCCATCTGGCAAGTGTGGAAAGCCCTCAGAGGCTGAGAGATAGTCCTGGGTCACCAGAATCCAAACTGCCACAGCTGGTTTCCAGCGGTCACTCTTAAACCCGCTCTCCTGTGGTGTCCTAGAGTCTTCTGCATATAGTCCGGTTAGGAAGGTCATGTTTCATTTTAAATGGATTTATTGCTTATTTTTTTTCTTTTCTTAAAATTTATTTGATTTGTTATCTTTAAAACTTCTGACATGTGATGTAATTCACCCGAAGTATAGCATACAATCGACGACTCCTATACGTACATGGAGTTGTGTACTCATGGATGCAATAAATTTAGAACTCATTTTTATGATCTCAGAAAAGGAAATCCTATACCTCTTATCTATCATCTCCATCGGCTGCTCTTGGCAATCTCTAGTGCACTCATACAATGCTGGCTAAATATTTTTCATTCTGAATATTTCATATAAATAAAATCATACACTATGGGATCCCGTGTGACTGTTTTTTTCACTTTGCATGTTTTCAGGCCTCATCCATGTTGTATCCAGACTTCATTCCTTCTTATGGCCGAATAATATTCCATTGTATGGATAGAACACATTCTGTTTATCCATTGGTCTGTTGTTTGCACATTTGGGCAAGTATGAATACTACTGCTGTGTGAACACTTAGTTTCAATTCTCTTAACTATTGCTATAATTCGAATACG